ATGGGAAAGGTTGAATTAAACATTGGCCGGGACTTAACAGGATGCAATAAGGTTGTGCTGTCCTCTCAGTGGTGTGATGCCATCATTCTGTGTGGTGATGTCACTGTGCTCCTTTGTGGTGTCATTTCACCTCTGTATGATGCCATAATAAAATGGGGCCCAGCCAGGGCCATGCCTGTAGCACATAACAGTTCAGTCTCCCCAGGACTGAAATGCTTTAGCTGTGATGTTAACTAAAATATCTGAGCTTAATATAGGGGTAGCTGGGTGAAATTCTCTGGCCTGTGACATAGAGGAAGTCAGACTAGATAATCTAATGGTCCCTTCTAGCCTTAAACTGTGAAACTATTAAACCAACCAGAAACTCCAGCTGGAAGGAGCAAAAGCAGCCAAAACAAGGACCTTTGGACAGCCAGAGAACTGCCCACAGTTTTGGTTGGACTTTCTCTGCCATGTGCTGATTGGCTGTTTGCTCTAACCCTCTACCTCCCTCACACTCTCTTCATCCTGCTTAACTCTACACCTGTCTCTCTTACCCTCTCCTCCCCTGCCCTGTCCCCCTCATCATCCTTTTCTACATCTTTCTTCCCATTTAGCCTCTCCGATCCGAGATAAACCCTCCCCACCCCCAAAAATCATTAAACTAACATGCTATTTGCTGCCACCATATAGATTGCTCTGCCTGTGTAGGATACCCCTTCCCCCAAGCTATGTCTGTCTGATCTATTGCGATTGTAAGATCACAGAGGCAGAGTCTCCCTGCTACGCTGTGTTTGTGCAGGGCTTAGCACAATGGGGTACCATTCTTGGCTGGTCCTTAGGCACTACCATACTAAACTTGATGAACAACCACTATAACAGTGCTGCATTGTAACATCACTGTGTTACATTGTGATATCATAGCACTGTATTTTGATGTCATAGTGCAGCATTGTGATGTCATTGCATCGCCCTTGTGATGTTCTAGTACTATATTATGTCACTGTGTAAGACTGTGATACCTTCATGCTAGCTGTATTGTGATGTTAGTGTGCTCCCTCATGATGTTACAGTGCTGTTCTGTGATGTCACTGTGTCACATTCTGATATCGCATTCCGATTAGCTGTGTTGTGATGTCAAGGTACTGCATCGTGTGGTTACAATGCCATTTCACCCCAGGAAAATGTCAACAACTGGCATGGATAAAAGCCAGTAAGGCATTGTCAGAACATCACCCAATTGCACTAGAATGTCCTCCCGGTGGTGGTGCAGAAATGCCACCCTGGCAGCACATGCAATGTAGCACAGCAGTGCAAGCTGGTGTCCATACGCTGCTGCAGCATCGAGCACAACAACATCATGGCAACTCAGGCAGCAGCATGGCACATGGAGGGGATGCTGTGGCATCTTATGGTCTCCCCAAATTCTCCTGGCAGCTGCCAAAACCCCACAAACCAAATCTTCCACAAGGAAAGCAGGAAGATTGTGGAGAATCCATGATGGGCAGCAGCTTCAGCTGTGGTTAGACAATTCCTTTCCTATACTTGTTCTGTGTTTGTACAGCTCCTAGCACAATTGGGGCCTGGTCCGTGATTGCAACTCCTAGTGCTACTTCAGTACAGAGAACAAATAACAATAGTGTGACATTCTATACCTTGGGGGAGTGTACTGAAGTCCCTATATTCCTCATTTTCATATAATCATGATCTTACATATAAAGCATGCCTGGTAAGGTATCAGGGGAAAGGTTATGATCTGCTGAAAGTCATTTCTCTATCCATATATGCGTATCATTAATGCATATGAAGTTATGAGAATTTTGTTGTACGGTGGTCACTAAAACATGCTGTAAATTGGGGAATCAGCCAGATATTAGCTCCCCAGAGGCAACAGGTGGAGTGTCAAACAACCCATCAACATCCATAATCCAGCAAGGGAACTACAATGCACTGATTCACCTGCATGAGGCCACACTAGGGGAATTGCTCAACCTTGCTTGGAGAGACTCAGCAATGTCCCCCTGACATGCCTGGACATGTGCTCCCCAAGCACATGGACTGAGGGTATAAAACAGACAGAGTGGACACATACTGGGCCCTTCTCCTGCCGCCCCCTTCGCTTCAAGCAACTAAGACACTGAGAAGAAGACAAGACTCCAACAGAGGAGATTGGCCCAGGTTTAAGGAACAAACCTATATTTTAAGGACTGCAATATCCAGGGTGAGAAAAACTGCTTAATCTAGATGTTGCCCAATCTAATAGGGTTGAGAGTTTAGACTGCATGTTTATATTTTATTTTATTTTGGTAACCACTCTTTTTGCCTTAATACCACTTAAAATCTATCTTTGTAGTTAATAAATTTGTTTGTTCTACCTGAAGCAGTGTGTTTGGTTTGAAATGTGTCAGAGACTCCCCTTGGGATAACAAGCCTGGTACATATCAATTTCTTTGTTAAATTGATGAACTCATATAAGCTTGGGGTGTCCAGCAGGCATAACTGGACACTGCAAGACGGAGGTTCCTAGGGTTGTGTCTGGGATCGGAGATATTGGCTAGTGTCATTCGATTGCACAATCCCAGGAGCAGCTGACATGCCAGAGGCTGTGCGTGAACAGCCCAGGAGAGGGGGTTCTCACAGCAGAGCAGGGTAAGGCTGGCTCCCAAAGTCAAGGATTGGAGTGACCTAGCAGATCACCGGTCCGGATAACACCAGAGGGGAATGTCACAAATACAGTAGTCATCTTATTTTCTAACCATAATCTTATTTTCCACCTGTCTCCAACAGGCAACTCTGCAGGCTCCTCAGCAATCACAAAATCAGTGCCCAGAAGGGAACAATGAATTCCAACATTTCAGGGACTGTTCTAGGTCTCAGTGGGCAGCACCCTCTGGATCATGGGGAAATTCGGAAAACCAGAAGAGCCCAGTTTCCACTTCAGCAAGGCCAATTTGGTGCAGCAGGCAGAGGAAGCTCTGTAGAGCCACCTACTGCTGCTTAGGAAAATCACAGGCAGTAATATGATGCTGTTCTTTCTCATCAGGTGTACAGCTTGGCCTCCACCAGCTATGAAATAATAATGTACAGCACCTAGCACAACGGAGCCCTGGCCCGTGAGTGGGGCTCCTCGGCACAGCTGAAATGCAAATCCCAAATACCAGTGCGAACTTCTGAACACCCACACCTGCTGTGAGAGTTTGTGAGCTGTGACCGAGTGATCAAAAGCCATCAGCACTGAATGGCTGTCTCTTGGGGAAACAATCAGGTAGCTACTGGCAGGGCCAAAGGGAATCGCTCTCCCCAGAAGCCTGAACACATGGCTGCACCTGATCCAAAGGGGCAGAGACTGTGCTTCTCCCAGTCAGAGGGTGGCATTTCCATGGCCACAGACACAAGGCCCAGAAGGAATGCTTGCCTCCACAAAGGGCTGGGACCAAACCCAGGGCCTTGTAAAGGAGGCTGAGATTAGAGAGAGGGGATGGGGTGCAGGCGTTTGCTGTTTTCCATAAACCTGTAATTCTCCAATGCTTTCAGAGAGCGTGTATAAGAAATTCCTTTGCTAAGTCTGTGCACTTCCTTCCTTTACTGCTGAGTTATCCCTGAATGGTGTAACTAAGAAAACCAGGGTTCCCACAGCCAGGTAGACTCCAGGGGAGAAATATATAAGCAACTTTGGGACTTGGGAGGACTGGGGCACTGTTTCCAGGGTCTAGGCAGCTGAAGTCCCACTGCTCAAGAAGGGTGTCAGACTTGGGGTATATCCCTGGGAGACCCAGTACAGGGACAGGGATCAGTCACTACCCAGACATAGGGGGCTAAGCAGCATGGGGGATCCAGCAATTGGAGCCCATCACAACAAACCAGTGCCCGTTTGAAAACCAGAATTGGACCAGTTTGTGACTCCAGTGTGTTAGCAGGTGGCTGTCCCACCTGGTTACTTAACATAGCAAACACACGCTGCATATGGTCTATACTAACCCCAGTCTTGGACCACTGCAGTCAGTACAACTTCAGGAAGAAGATCATCCTATTGATTCCTCAGCATGGCTTCTGGTCAGCTAATATTGCTATGGGGGAGTATCACCAGATGGTGCTGTCACACATAGCCTTACAATTTATTTTCCCCAGTGTTCAGTCTTTGAAGCCACACTGTATCATTGTTGGTTTTGTAATGCAGTTCTTTTCTTTCCAGATGTGCTGCTCTTTGCTTTTATCTTTTTAAATCACATCTGTTCTGGGGGACAGAGCAGCTCCCTGGGAACCGGGCATGGGTGTTTGGGCAGAGTTTACAGAAAGAACGGATTGTCTGTCGTGCTGTTTTTGTCCACCTGTGTTCCAGGACTGGTGCATATAGCACAGGGGATAAACAAGCTACATTAAGAAAATACCCACTGATTCTGTCTCATTTACTTCTCCTCTGATAGGAAACCAATTTACAAGGTTCTGACACCAGCTATGGCCAAGGGGCAGCAATATTAAAAAGGTGCATTTCAACTGAGGTCACACAAAAGGCTTTCCATGTCAAAACCCTTCCTAGCAAAGGGAATTTTCCATGCAGCTAGTGGATACGGAGGAAGGTTAAGTATACAAAATAAAACACCGTCACGTTAATATGTGCTAAGCAAATTGATTCAGAGTCCAAACTACCAATTCTGCCCCAGCATTTGCTAGTCCCTGATGAGCCATGTGTAAATCAACTGTGAAAAGCACTGCAAGCGGGTCAATTCCATGGTAGTATTGGATACCTGCCGGAAAGACTTAAATATGCTAGCTCTCTCAGGGTTTACAGTCATCCTAGTGGGAAGAAATGTCTCCCCTCTTGATCCTGTGGCAAATGAGCACCAAAAAAACTAAAAATCTAAGGTTTCAGAGGAACAGCCGTGTTAGTCTGTATTCGCAAAAAGACAAGGAGTACTTGTGGCACCTTAGAGACTAACCAATTTATTTGAGCATGAGCTTTCGTGAGCTACAGCTACATCCGATGAAGTGAGCTGTAGCTCACGAAAGCTCATGCTCAAATAAATTGGTTAGTCTCTAAGGTGCCACAAGTACTCCTTGTCTTTTTAAAAATCTAAGCTGGAGAATCCCAGACAAAAAGGACCCTTTCAAGATTTTGCTTCTGTGATAAAAAGCTGCTTGTCTGGTTCTATCTCTATCTAGTTCTGCAGTGGGGCCTATCATGCTAGTATCTGAGCCTCCCACATATTAATAGATTTATCCCCATAATCCCCACTGGGCAGGGAAGCATCATTAGCCACACTTTACAGATGAGGAAACTGAGCACCAAGCAATGAAGTGACATGCCCTAGGTCACACAGGGAGCCAGGATTTGAACTCAGGTCTCCAGAATCCCAGTCCAGTGCCTGACACATGAGCCTGTTGTTTAGAATTTGGTTTTCAGTTCCTCTTTCTTGCTCCTTTTCTTTCTTGCTCTGAAATCAAAGGGAGAAGAGAAGAACAAAAGCACCAAACAGCTGGATCATTAAAAACAACAATTAATAATTAATGACTCTTTGTCCTTTCATCCAAGGCTTGTGTAAAGTGTTTAAGATCTGTCCTTCTATCCATCCCCATACACACCTCCTAGCTAGCTATCTATCCATCTATCGCCATGTATACACACCCCAGTCATCCCAAACACCCCAGCTATCTATCCAGCCACCCCCATACACACCCCTCTATCCATCCACACACACTGCATCCATCTATCATACATTCACACACCTGTGTCCATGTACACACACTCTCAGGTTCACACACATACACTCATCCTCAGACACACACAATCCATCCCACGCCCAGCCCCCAGCCCTCACACAGTGCCCATTGTACACACCTGTCCTCCACCTGCATCATCGTGTCGGCTAGTGGGACCCCCAAGGTCTCTGGTAAGCAATTGACCAGGATGCCAGCTGTGATGGGCACTGCCCCGAACAGGAGCAGGGGCAGGAAGGAGACAAAGGCCTGGGTCATCTGCACCATGGGGGCTGCCACCGCTCCCAGACGAGCCATCATGTTGGTGACCCCCAGCCCTGTCTGCCTGGGGAGAAGGGGAAGCCACAGAGAATTGAGCAATCCCATTAAGGCTGGATACTTTATACAAATGAGCAGATGGTCTAATTTGCATATTTTATGAATAAGCAACTGTTTATTTGCATAACCCCCTTGCAGTCAAATCTATTCATTCCCACTCCAGACCCATCAGTTCTCAGCTCTACCTCCCCATTGGATACATCACTGGCCCCCTCCCTCCATCAAGATCTGCCCCAGGCACAGCTCCAGGGCTCCCCCAATGGGACACTAAAGCAGCACTTGAGACCCAGGTGGGGGTAGCTGAAATCGGGAGTGTCCCAGCCAAATGGAGAGGTTCAGCAGGATTTGCCCCAGCAGGACCGGAGGGTGCAGACGAGGGGAGACACCCACAGAGCTCAGCCATGTCCCGGCTGAGGAGGGACTGGAGCGGCTAGCTGAATGAGGGGGGAACCCCAGGGAGGGACGTCTTGTACCTTGTACCTTAGGCTGGGCCTCATGGCATCATTCCTCACCATGTGGGGGGGGATTAGATTGAACATGCCAAGTCATTAGAACCCGGGAGGCCTGACTCCCAGCCCTGCTCCCTGTGCTTCAGGCAATGCTGCCTCCATTGATGCTGTCCAGCAGAGGGCGCCGCCCCACTCACCGGATGACGGTAGGGTAGAGCTCCGTGGTGTACAGGTAGGAGCAGCTGGAGGAGGAGGAGAAGAGCCCTTTTCCGAGGACAGTCAGGGCAATCAGCAGCACCTCCATGTCTAGGGGGAGCAAGGGGAGGATGACCCAGAATGCAGATTTTTGCTCTGGAGGTGCCTGTCACTAACTCAGAGACCCAGCTTTGGGTGATGGGCAGCCCAGGACCAAACCCGCCGTGCTGGGGCTGCATGGCACCATAGCTGGGCAGGGGCACTGGTCACTTGCCAGTCCCCTGGGCCACCTGTAGGGCTACAATCTCGGCCACTGGCCGAACCTCCTTCCCACTCCCAAAGCTGCCCCAGCTTCCACCACACCATCACTGGCTCGGTTTCCTGCACAGCAGGGAGGACGGGATACCAGGCTGGATGGACCCATTGGTCTGATCCGAGACGGCAGGAAGTGGGGGCTACTGGGCTGGCCAGGACCATGGGTCTGATCTGGGCGGGGCTCCGAGCTGGTGAAGCCCAGGGCAGTGGGGAACGGTGTGCCGACTTGGGCGAACGTGCTGGACTCACCCTGCGGCACGGGGATGCTTGCCAGGATGAAAAGTCCCCCCAGGAACAGACAGGCAGCCTGCGTGAGCCGGCGCCCCAGGCGGTTGGCAGCCACGGCCACCAGCATGCGGAAGGGCACGTCCACAGCGCCAAAGATCAGCTGCACCAGGAAGATGCTGATGCCCCCGAAGCGCTGCAGGTCCAGGGCCAGGTGGTAGTAAGAGAAGCTGTTGGAGAACCTGCCGGATGGGGGTGGGGAGAACTGGGGTGAGGGAGGCTCAAAGGGGGAGAGTGTGTGACTATCTCCCAGCCCCATTCCCGTCTGTTTGCTCTCCCTCCGTCTCTCCCCCTCCTCTGGTCTGTCTGGTTCTCCCTCCCCATTTCTATCTGTCTCTGTCTCCAGCTGCTCGGGGGTGGGGGTGGGACTTTCCTGTTCACATGGGGGGAATCCTGACAGGGTTTTTGTGACACCCACATTTACTTCTAGGGGGTTCTCCCCACTGAAGAAACTCTCTGCCCCATGACAAACCCAGCCACTGGGGGACCAAAGCAAAGTTGAGCCTCCCCCATACCTCCTCTTAGCTTAAATCAGTGCTGTGGGGATAAACACTCTGCTCCCATCCTGAGCATGGAATCCTCTGGGGGGCTAAGCAGCGTGGGGACTAGAACTCAGATCCTCCTGCCATCTAAGCCCAGGGGAATCCCACTCAACAAGAGACAATGGTGCAACTACCCTCCCCAGTCAGTTTATCGCACTAGTATTGTTAGCCTGGAGGATACAGATGGGGGCAAGGGGAGCCCCTTACCAGGCCAGCATAAGGCAGCAGGTGACCCCACGCATGGGCGCTGTCCGGAACAGCCCCAGGGCAGAGTGCCGGGAGGGCCCCAAGCTCTCTTTCTTCTGCTGCATTTCCAGCCTCAGTGTCTGGGGAGGGAGAGAAGGTCGGAGCTGAGACCAGGGTGGAGAAATCATACCTCCTCTCCAGAGGGGGAGATGGGCAAAGCCAGGGAAGAAGAACCCTGGGACTTGACACCCAGCCCCCTCAACTCTAACCACTAGACCCCACTCCCCTCCCAGAGCCAGGCATAGAACCCAGGAGTTCTGACTTCTAGCCCCGCCCTTTTCTAGCGACTAGACCCCACAAGGTACCCTGTGCCCCTCACCTCCAGGGAGATGCCCTCCCCCTCCAGCTTCTCGCCGTTGATCCAGGCCACCCGTCGTAGGTTCCTCAGCGCCATCTCAGGCCTGTGGTTGACGATGAGCCAGCGCGCGGACTCTGGGATCCACCTGGGGAAGGGAGGGGTTGGCCTGGGGCTCAGAGAGAGAGAGAGAGGGAGGGGAGGGCATGGTGCCTGCTGACAACTGGGCACTCACGTCCCCTGGGCTCTGGGCAACAGATCTGGGATTCTGTGCTTCCCTGCCAGTTGGTTTAGCCAAATGGAGACCCTGCCAGAGGGGAACAGGGTTGAGGGTCTTCATTTGGACCAGGCAACAGGCTACCACTGCCATAGGGTGTGGGTCCCCTCTGGGCTCCCAGACACGGCGCCCTGCGGCTCCTGAGCCCATAATGCCATCCCTGCCTGGAGCCGTGGCTCCCGGAGAATGTGTGGTCCCCCTGCCCCTCAGCCCCAAGGGCACCTACCAGCTGTAGAGGAAGAAGAGAAAGAAGGGTGCTGAGGATGCCAGCTGCAGCTGGCGCCAGTCGCGGATGCCGTATGCCAGTCCAGCCAGGACCAGCTGGCCCAGCGTCAGGCTGCAGGCAAGGATGGTGGCTACCGTGGCCCAGGACTGGGATGGGATCCACTCCATGGCTGGGGGCAAGGAGTAGGGTGAGGTGCAGCACCCTCCAACCTCAACCTGCCTGCCCAACTTTGGGGAGTGGTGCTCAACCCTGCACCCTTCTGCACTGGGTGGGCCCAGGACGGAGCAGTGTGGGGAGAGCTGCCCCCTATGCACCCACACATAGAACCCGCCCCCAGGACTTCCATAAACACTTCCCTCCCCTCCCCAAACAACCTCCCTCACATTCCCCCCTCCCACACAGCCCCCCAAAAATCCCACACAGTCACTCCCACACAAAGCCCCCATCACAACTCCCCCACAAGCCACACCTCCAGCCCCCCCACAAACATCTCCCCTTATGCACACACACACCCCACTGTCCCCCCATTCTTCACACACCCACACCCCAGTCGCCCAGGTGCCGTACCCTCACACTCAGCCCTCCCATGCCAGCTCTCTGCCCCCAGCCCTCCCCCCACTCACTCAGGCTGATGCTGTTGAGGATGAAGCCCGCGGTACCCGTGCCGCTGAAGAAGCGGAAGGCACAGTAGGCTGCCAGGTTGGGGGCGAAGGCAGCGCCGGTGCCCATCACACCCACCAGCAGCAGGGACCAGAGCAGCAGTGCCCGGCGCCCCAGCCTGCAGCAGGGGAGACAATACCATTGGAGAAAGGGGGGGATATGGGCTGGATGGGCCCATGGGGCTGATCTGGAGGGGGGCAATGCGGAGGGGATACTAGCCTGGATGGGCCCATGGGGCTGATGCAGGGGGGATACCAGTCTGGGCTGATCCGGGGGGATGGGGGGATGGGAGGGAGGATGCTAGGCTGGATGAGCCCGTGGGGCTGATGTGGGATGGGGATACCAGGCTGGATGGATGCATGGGGTGCTCCAGGAGGGCAGGGAAGGGGGATATTGTTTTACTCACCTATCTGCCAGGCCCCCGTAGACCAGCGCTCCCACCAGCACCCCCGCCATGTAAATGGACTGGGCAAAATCCTTGAGAGTCCGCTGGCCACAGACCAGGTGCCACTGGGGAGGAGTGGGGAGAGGGGTGTGAATCCAAGGATGCCCCATGGCACCCTGCGCTGCTGGGCAAAGGGCTGACTGCATAGTCAGATGGGCTCCAGGGACACAGCTGGCACAAAGGGCCAGGAACCACACCTATGTCTCCAGTGCCCACCTGAGCTACCTGAGCCCTGGCTAGTATCTGTACCTTGGCAGCAGTCAGGGTAATCAGCAGCACCTCCATATCTAGGGGGAGCGAGGGGAGGACGACCCAGAATGCAACAGGCTGAGAAGAGCCTACACCCCAATGCTACTGTGCCATCTGAGCTCACCTGCACCCACCTGGGCCCACTTGGTCAGAGCCCAGCTGGGCCATCCCAGCTGTTCCTCCTGTCCATCCCCACCAGCGCCATCCCAGCTGCCCCTGCTGTCTATGCCCACCTCTGCCACTCAAAACCTCCCTTGCTGTGCATGCCCACCTGCAGCTCCCATGCCCACCTGAGCCCTGTGACCCCCACATATTGTGCCCAAGCCTGCCAGCACCCATGCCCTTCAAATGCCCTCTGTCCCTTTTATGCCCTGCTGATTCCAACTCACTCCCTTGTGCCACCCATTGCTGCCAACAAAGCCCTTATCCCCTCCTTGGCCCGGCACTGTCCATGCAGCCAGGAAGAGCTGAGTTTCCACCGCCCCGCACAAGGGCTGGGGGGACAGGACAGCATCCCCGTCCATGTCCCCCTCCATCCCCCAAATCTGGAGTCTGGAATGATGGGTGGGGCCTGCACCCGGGGATCATGGGTTGTTCAAAGCGGGTTACTGGCATGGGGCAGCTGGCAGCACGACATGTCATGGATGAGCTAAGAGCAGGAGACGGGATTGGCACAGGATCCACGCCAAGGAAGACACTAGGACTGTCATCCATTATCCCAGCTCTCAGAGGGGTGGCTAAGGCTGAATTTCTGCCACAGCAGGCCCCTGTGGGCTGGCAGGAGGGGCACAGAGACACAGGCCCTTGGGCAGCACCCCATTCCCTTCAGCACAGCACCCCCTAGCACTGCACTGGGGTACTGGAGTCAGCACTGCCTGCGAGGGGGCAGTGCCCCCTACTGAGGTCCCCCCTCACCCGGCTCCCTGAAGCACAGAGCCTCTTGGTGCCACGCTGGGGACAGTTCCAGTTCAGAGGGGAGAGTACCCCCTGCTGAGCCACCCTGTGACACGACATCCCCTACTGCTGGGGTCAGCACTAAGAGCACCCCCTAGGGAGCCACCTCCCTTCTCCCTGCAGCAGCACAATCAGCCCAGACTCCATGGGAAAAGCAGCCCTAGTGAGCCCCCCACCTGGCTCCCCAGAGAAGCTGGGCACTCCTTCAAGGTCTCCCAACTACTGAACTAGCTGGGCCTTGCTTAGGTGATGAAACCTCCGAGGGGGCATCTCAGGGTCTCACTGAGTCATCATGGACCTTGGCTGACCAGGCAGCCTCCAGGCTAGCTCCTCCCACCTCCAGCTGGCTCAGAAGCCCCGCCCTGCGTCACCTCCTGGCTGGTGTTGACTGTGCAGTCAATGCAAGGGCTCCTTCCAATGAGTCAGGGTAGCACGGGGGCCCCTGCACCACCAGGCTGTGAGCACCCACCCTTTGCTCCAGGCCCTGCCAGGTCACAGCCTTGGTCCTGGTCTACATAGGCATTCATGGATCAGATCATAGCTACAGCGGAGACATCTCCTCCATGTAGGGCCGGCCAAGGGAGGGAGCTCCTGAAGGGCCAGGGCGACCACAAAGCACAGGCTAGCTGCCACAGAGATAAGGCATGGTTCAGACCGAGGGGAGAACTTCCAGAGGACATGACGCTAAAGCTAAGCCACAGCCCAGTAGCCCCGCTGCTTGTTAGATAACGCTTTGCCACCAAGCTGATCCAACAGCCCCTACATCAAGCACAGTCTGTATGCTCCCAAGAGGAAGGAGAGCCAGAGATGCCATGTCGTGCAGTAGGCACCTTACTATGCCAGTCTAATGCATGAAACAGGCTCAGATACTATGGGTGAGAGCACAAAACCGAGGGGGTGGGGTCGATGCATGGATAGGTGGTTAGATAGGGACATAGATAGATGGGTAGGTGAATGGACAGGTGGGTAGGTGGAAGGATAGATAACCAGCCCATAATGTTGTCACAGCTCCAGGTCCCCACTCCCCTGAAATGATCCCTCATGCTCCCCTCTGTACCTCAGTGATGATGGTGGAGTTGAAGACACTCCTGTCGTACACCCACCCATCCAGGCAGGGCTCAGTGGTATTGGTGCTGGTTCCGTTGGGGGCCAGGAGCTGCCACTGTGGGGTGCTGAACCGCAGGCATCTGTCTGGCTCCTGGTTGTCATCCATAGGAACATAGATCTTCAGCAGGTCTCCTGTCACCTCTGTGGTGTCATTGTCTCCCACCGGGATGTAGCACCAGTGCCTGGGGACAGCAGCTGTGAAGTTCTGCAGGAAGTTATGGGAGGCTACCATGAGGAGAGGGAGGAAGACCAGGGCGATGAGGATGATTTGGAAGAAGCCCATGCATTGCTCCTTCTCCAGCTGGACTCCAGGGGCCATGGAGGCTGTGGGGAAACCTCTTCCTGGCTGCCTGGTTGCTCTTCTTCTCCAGAGCCCCTGGTTCGTATAGCAGTCAATCTATCTAGCCTTTGGCCCTGGTAAATCTTTGACCAGCATCAAGGGCAGAGTCAGGTGGGAGTCTGAGAACATGGAGGAAGTAGGGAAGGGAACAAGGTCCAGCAGAGGACATACTTCTCAGAAGCATTACTCATCTACTAAGGTGCGGGGGGAAGGGGGGTGGGCAAGTAGCCAGGTCACAAAATGGGAAATGGGACACAGACCCTTTCCCCTCTGGAGGGTGCTTGCAACAATCCAGTCCCAGGGTGGGGTGCTGGCTTGGTAGGGATGGTGGGGAATGGGATCCTGGGGCATTTCCCTCTAGGGCTCGTGTTTCTATTCGCCCCCATGACTAACAGTCATTCCCAGGTGATGGCTCACATGGTTGGAAGCTGTGGAGTCCACTTAGTCCCGCTCCAGTTGCCCCACATCACGAACGCTTCTGAGACCATGTGGCATTAATGAGCCACGGAAACCCAGTGGGCTCCCTTGGGCAGGCAACAGACAGGAGTGTTCCATTTGGTGGGAGAGGATTTAGCCAGAATGGGAGCAGACCCCCCTTTACAGCCTTCCCCCTGCCTGGCACTGAACTTTGTGGGTGGGTAGAGCCTAGACACTGGATTGAGAATGAGTGAGGTCCTGTACCAGGCACAGCACAACCCCGACTGAGATCAGGGCCCCATGGTGCCACACGCTGCACACACCCCGACTGAGATCAGGGCTCCCATTGTGCTGGGTGCTGCACAGTGAAAGACAGTTCCAGTCTGGAAGAACTCACAGTCCAAACAGACAAAGAATGGATTATTTTCCCTGTGATGGGTTGGACACCCCGTCCAGGATGCCACTTGATATGCTGGGGTTCCACTGAGCCCGCCCATTCCACCAGCCTGGGCTTCCTCACCCAGTCCTTGCTATGCTAGGCCCTCAAGTCTTCTCTAGCACACACACAAGTAAGGCCACACCCAGCTGCAGACACAAACTGAAATCAGCTGTGTGGGAGGATTCATGTCAGGACTTTATCCAGCACTCATGTGCACACTTCCTTTGGGGTGTAAACCCAAAATCATATGGTCTTTCATTGTATAGAGACATCTGTACAGCTTAAGCTCATAAAAATAGCCCCCTCCCTCAAGGTGGAGGGAGATATGCACAGCTTCCCCACCCTGATATGAATTGCACAAACTGGGTTTTGAAATAAATTTATGTCTTGTTTAACTACAAAAGGTAAATTTTAAGCGACAATAAGGGATAACAAACAGAACAAAGCAGATTACCTTAGTAAATAAACAAAAAACGCAAACTGAGCTTAACACACTAGATAGGAAGGATATAAATTAGCAAATTCTTACCCTGAGTGATAAACGGGCTGGCAGATTCTTCAGGCACAAGTTGTTTTGGCTTTCCCAGGATTTCATACACAGACTAAAAATCCTTCTAGCCTGTGACCATCACTTCCCACAGTTCAGTCTTTGTTCCTCAGGTGTTTCCAGGTGTGGTGTTGTAGGGAGAGTGAGGTCCCCCCATAATGTCATTTCCCCCCTTTTATACTTTCTTCCCACTTACTGGAAAGCTCTTTTGCTGTGACCTGGGTCAAACTGTTCCCATCATGTAGTGCTATCTCTGAGAAGTTTCTATTGTACACAGTTCCTGGGGTAATCCTTGTGCTTGTGTGTATTTCCTCAATAAGCCATTAACATTGTTTGGCCTTTTTACTGTTGTACCTGAAAGGCTGCTTGTGGGTGTTTTCAACCTCACGACATGTTTCAGTAACACATACATAGCCAAGCTTCAGAACTTCACATACGACAATAGCACATACAATCTGATGAGATATTACTGTCTAATGGATCAAGACTTTTAGAACGATACCTCACAAGGCTTACTTTGTACAAAACATATCCTAATTACATGACAGTGGTGAATATTGGGGTGCCAGGGTGTCACATTGGGCACTCCACATCAGTGGCCCCTTTTGTTCAAGGCATTGCCCTATCGGCCAGCCCGCATGCTGCTGAGCAGCTTGGAGCGCTGTTCCTGTGTGGCAGGCCACCACTGCTTCGCTTCTGTCGGGGCTCTGCTCTGCTTTGCATCCACAGCTCTCACCTGGCCACATCATTTCTCCAGATGGCAGCCCTGGGTGTGTGTGCATGTGGAGGAGGGGTAGTGCAGTATCTCTGCGGGCAGGGGGCCCCTCCTATACCCCCAGGAGGGATCTGGGCCAGGAATGCCCCTGCAGGCACCAGCCCAAGGAGATCTTCCAGTTCAGGGCCAGCCCAATAGAAAACTTGGGAGATCATCTGAAATCACCCTGGATAAGACCCACATGAACTTCTTACCTTCCCCTGCAGCCCAAACGGTGGGTCTGTTGATCTATCACTGCACATCCCTCTTCTCTGCCCCACCCCAGCCACTGGGGCACCCCTCTCTGCTCCTCCACCCACCCATCCCTGGCGTGCCCCCAATCTACTCCTCCCTAGCTCTACACCCATCCACCACTGGAGTGCCCCTCTCGGCAGCCCTGCTACTCCACATAGATTGGTGATTACTGTCTGGGATGATCAGAACAGGAGACTCACCTGGTATCCAGGGCTAGATTGTCCCCTCCAGTCTTCCCCCTAGGGTATCCTACCACAGCACAGGGGTAACACGGGGGTGCTCATATCACCAGACACCCCTCCCCCTTCTGCTAGTAGCCATCACGTGACATAGCTTCTTTAGGTGTGGAAACTGTTATGCACATGGTCCCCAGCATCCCTGCAGGAGCCTGCCTGGCTCTGACCCCCATCACCCCCATGTGGGGAGAGTATGGTAAATCATGGGAAAATGCAGTCTACCCAGGGAGTCCAGCCTAGAGGAGAATGAGGCACTCAAACTACATTTCCCATGATGCACCAGTCAGGGATTCCCAAGATGCATTCCCTTCCCATCTACAAGAGGGCAGACCATGGTGCATCATGGGAGATGTAGTTATCAGGGCACCCATCTCACGGAGAAGACAGGAGCAGGAGGCTGCCAAACTATATCTTCCACGAGGCACTGCAGTGGCATTTCAGAATCAAAATACTTAGATTTTTGCCAAAAATATCAACACTTTCTGGAGAGAGAAACATGCCCCCCGCCCCTGTTTCCAGAGGAGCTCCAGCCCTGACTCTATGGTGTGGTTGGTGTGCAGGGATCAGGGACATGGAGCAAGGGGAATTTTTTAGTGTGGCTGGTTTATTTACAAAAATGTACAGAAGACCACAGGAACGAGTGCAGGAAATCTCACCTAGGCACCCCACACACACACACACATCCTGTCCCTGCTGCCTGGGAGCTCGTTCCCCACCCAGAGGGGTCTCTCCAAACTCCAGCCCCATTGGTGAATGTTACAGATTGGATCCAACTGCCCCGCCTCCTGTACAGCCTAGCTGAGCTACCTAGGTGCCCCCAGCACCTAATGGGGAGCCATCGACACCTTCAGAGCCCCCAGGCGCTTCTCCCCACTCTGCTCAATTTTCCCCAAGACCATCAGTTCAGCCACAGGATCCAATCCATGCCCAGTTTGGTAGTGGCTCATCAGCAGCTATGAAATCTGTTGGCTGGGTCTCAGCTCGCAGCAGGACAGAAACCGGCATCTCATGAATGGGCCACAGATGCTGTAGAGGGGTGGGTGTCAGGCCAAGATACATCACCAGGAGGAGCCAGTTCACAGCCCGACCAGGCCAAAGGAAGGAGCGAGTATTAGGCCAATACACAAAACCTGGGGGAGCCAGTGACAGCCCGGGCCAGTGACAGCCCTGCCGGACCGGAGGGAGGAGCGGGTGTCAGGCCAATATACACCAGCAAGGGGAGCAGGTACCATCACACCTGGCAAAGTTGTTTGGGGAGGTGTCTCCCTGCTCTGTCCACGCCCCACAGGCTCCCTGCATGTGAGGCGTAGGGCCCCCCACTGTGGGGCAGCTCAGTGACACAGCTCAGAATACCCCACCTGCCATTTGCCCTGTCTCTTTAAGGGGGCTGATTCCTAAGTTGCAAAGGGAACAGCAGGTGGTTCCTCCCTTCACGTGGGCCTTTTGGTGCAGCCTGCACCTGTGCATTGCGGGGGCCAGGACTGGGGGCTTTGGGTGGCAGGGAAGGCTGCTCAGATCCTGGTTGAGTGGACAACGTGAGCCACAGTCTCCCTGGTGGGCGTCTCCTCGCCTTTCCTCCTGGCTCTGGAACAAAAGAGGGAGGGTGTGAAAAGGATGGAAAGGGCAGGTGGGAAGGGATTGACAGGCAAGGAAAAGGTTTGCAGGGGAAAGGGCAGCAGGAGATATACCCCAGCAGCCTGTGAGTCACACCTGTCCTCCACCTCTTCTATGGTGTCCAGCAGGGGGACATTGTGCATCTCTGGCAGGAAGCAGGCCGCGATGCCGGACACGACGGGAGCCACCCCGAATATCACCAGTGGCAGGAAGGGAAATTGCTGCCCAGCCACCAGCACCGCCGGGGCCACCATGCCACCCAGACGAGCCATCACAGTGGTGAAGCCAGTGCCTGTCTGCCTGCCAGACACAGTATGCTGTTAGAGACTTGTAACAATAATAGCATGCCCCGCACAGAGATGAGGGTGCCTCTGGGATGGAGCACAGGGGCTGTTGTTACAGGGAGCCCTTGCCTGGCACTGAGGCAGCCACCTCTGGGGTGGGTCACAGGGGCTATTTATACAGAGATCCCTCACCCAGTGCTGAGATGCACCTGCCCCTGGGGAGAGACGCAGGGGCTGTTTAAACAATCAGAGATGGGGAATCCCAGTCCTGATTTTACCTGACAGCGGTTGGGAAGAGTTCTCCCCCATACAGGCAGGAGCAGACAGAGGAGGCAGCCAGGCATCCTTTTCCCAGCACCACCAGAGCCAGTCGCACCATCAGCATCTCTGGAGAGGGGAAAGATGGGGTTGTGGAACTGGCCTTCCTGGAGATCAGAGCCCTGTGCAGGTTTTAGTCACTGCAGTCCCACGTCACAGCTGCCACATGAGCCATGCAAAGTATCACAGCAGCATTTCACAGTGGGAAAACTGAGGCATGGGGCTGCACAGGTGAAGTGGCTTGTCCAAGGCAGAGCCATGAATAGAATCCAGGAGTGCTGACTCCCAGCTGCCCACTCCGTTCCAATCACCAGACCCCAGTTCCCTTCCAGGACTGGGGATAGAACCCAGGAGTCCTGACTCCCAGCCCCACCCTCCCACTCTAACCCCTGAGCCATCTCTCCTGAAGGTCATGGGACAGGAGACTCTTGGCAGAGCCATGTCACAAGGGCTTCCCCCACTTCCCAGCTCAGTGGGACCAACCTGGCTCCCATCACTGCTGGAAGCTGAATGGGCTAAGAACCTGGGGCTCCAGGGGGCTCCTTACCTCTGGGTACAGGGATGTTCCCCAGGAGAAAGACTCCGGCCAGGATGAGGGAGCTGGCCTGGATGGCTCGGCGCCCAAAGTAGCTCAGGGCCAGGGTACAGGCCATCTTGGCCAGGATGTCAATGGCCCCAAAGAATGTCTGCACCAGGAAGATGTCCAGGCCAAAGGCCGGCAGGTCCATGGAGAGCCCGAAGTAGGCCAGGTTGGTGGAAAAGCTGCAGAGCAGAGCGGAGATGGGTCAGAGGGCCAAGCAGGACTCATAGGTAACATGGAGAGCTCAGCTAGTTTGTGACATCAGGGGTAGAAACAACCCATCCATCCTCCTAGATACAGCTGCGTCCACCCCTCCCCTGTCGATCCTCCTAGTGTGGCAAAGTACCTTGTTCACCTCAGCATGCTCAGTTCTTTTTCGCCTTGGAGACACAGGTTTGGGCAAGGCAGTCAGTCTAGGTGGCACAAGGTCAGGCTACACCTTTCCTCAGTCAGTCCCTTGTGCCTGTTTTCCTTTTCCCTCCTGGGGAGGGAATGCAGCCTCCCTTCCTGGAAAGGTTCAGTGTCTTGCTGCACTGTTGTATATTGGATCATTGTATATCCATTGTATATCTACTGTTGTATATTGGATCATTGGCCTGATCCTGTCCAAAATTCCCAAGTGAGGGCCCCATTTGCCCAAACTCAGGGGGATCTACCTCTGTCTCCCCCTCAGGGAAAACCCTCGGGGAACTAGGTCTGGTGACAGAGTCGTCGATCTCTGGCCCAGTCCCGCTGTCCGTTGGGCCATCTCTTTTCCCTACAAGCGTAGATTTCTGGTACTGGGCCAAGATTCTCGTTCCCCTCATTTTAACTGCCCTCCGTTCCCTCTGAGTCTTCTTGGGCTTTCCAGGTGGAGAGAACAAATCCTGGGCAAATTCATAGAAGGAATTTAACTATCGGGGCCATCCCCTGGGTCCTGGATTCATTACTTCATTCCGCCTCCTCTCCAGGGAGTAGGCTATCAAATCCTGGGAAGTCTCGTCCGATGAGGACTGGGTAGGGGAGTTAAGGAACTACTCCCACCGTCACCTTAGTGGGGTTTCCAAGAACTTCTATTTTTACGGGGATGGTCGGGTAATAATTGACATCCCCATGCACACAGGATATTCCTGAGAGCTTGGCCCGGGATAGTTGGCCTTGCCCGACCAGATTTCCCGAGACCAGCGTGATCACACTTCCCGAGTCTACTAACGTGGTGGTCTCTATACAATTCAATTCATCTTAACGGGGCTAGTGTATCTATGAGAGACCATCGCAACCCCGACTAGATTTATTAGATCACATGGTCCTCCTATATCTCCCAGTTTGCATTGCATGGGCTCTTCTAGATTCAGGCATTGGGCAGCGATATGCCCCAATTCGCCACATACATAACATCGGTACCCGGCTCGGGGCAGCCCCCAATTTTTAGGACTGTTGGGCTTTACCCCCCGAGCCTTTCTCCCCCAGTCCTCAAGTCTCTCCGGGACCTCTGGCTGCTCTTCAGGCTCCTTCCTCCCCTCCATAGTCCGGCCTGGCACTAGGGCAAACTGGGGCCTCGGGGCAGAGATTTGTCTCCGATTCTGGTGCCTTCCTTCCCCAGTGGTCCAAGAAAGTTCTTGGGCTGCTAGCTGTCTCTCTGAGGGCAACTAATTCATCATAGGAGGAGGGATCATTTTGGCAGACCCACCCTCGTATGTCCGGCAGCAACCCCCTCATGTACCTGTCCAACACTAGGATTTCCACAGTTTTCTCCGGGCCATGGGTCTCGGGGCAGAGCCACTTCCGGGCGAAGTGGATTAAGTCAAATAGCTGGGACCTCGGTGCCTTGTTGTTCCGGTATTTCCACTTGTGGAAGCACTGGGCCCTTATGGCTGGTGTCACGCCTGACCTCGCCAGGATCTCTGCCTTCAGCTGGGGGTAATCCATAGCTGTTTCTGTTGTCATTTCAAAATAGACCTGGGCCTCCCCACACAGAAACAGAGCCAGGATACCTGCCCACTGGTCTTGGGGCCAGGCCTCCCGCAGGGTCATCCTCTCAAAGGCGAGGAGATATGCCTCTATGTCGTCGTCTGTGGTCATCTTCTGTAAATAGTTGCTTGCCTGCAGCGGCCAGGCCCCCTGGGGGCCATGCGTCAGCATGGTCAGGGCTTTTAACTGGTTCACCACTTCATTCAGGGTGGCTCGATCTTGGGCCGCCTGGTTCATCAGTAATTGGTTTGTTTCCTGCTGGACTCACACTGACTCCTGCTGGGCAGCCATCTGTACCCTGGTAGCCTCTTGTTGGGCCACAGTGGCCTGTACCAACACCTTCACTACATCCTCCATTTATTTGTTTGTGGTGATTTACCCTGCCCTGAGATGGCTTGCCACAGATCCTCACTCACTTATCCTACCACTGACACCATGTGTGGCAAAGTACCTTGTTCACCTCAGCAGGCTCAGTTCTTTTTAGCTTTGGAGACACAGGTTTGGGCAAGGCAGTCCGTCTAGGTGGCACAAGGTCAGGCTATACCTTTCCTCAGTCAGTCCCTTGTGCCTGCTTTCCTTTTCCTTCTGGGGAGGGAATACAGCCTCCCTTCCTGGAAAGGTTCAGTGTTTTGCTGCACCTAGCCTACTAGCAGCTTCCCTGCTACTCTCACTTTCCTAACAGGTGAGGGTTTAAAAAGGTCTTAAGCAGTTGGAGTCAGCTGAACCTAATTGGTTCTCTAGGAATCCCTTTTCAGCTGAACCTTATTAACCTGTGGTTACCTCTCGTCAGTGGATAGGGAGGGGCCTTTTAACCTTCTGGGACTGATTACTAGGCCCCCCCGTAGCTGTTTGTCCTGGGTTTACCACACTAGATACAGCTGTGTCCATCTCTCCCCTGTCCATCCTCCTAGATAAATCTGTGTCCATTCCTCTCCATCCATCTTCCTAGATACATCTGTGTCCACCCTTCCCCCGTCCATCCTCCTAGATACATCTGTGTCCATCCCTCTACTGTCCATCCTCATAGATGTGTCCTTCTGTCCATCCCTCCACCTCTCCTCAGAGATTTAGCTGTGTCCATCCATCCATCCACCCATCTGTCCCTCCATCCCCTCCTTAGATCCAGGAAGATGTATTTGTGTCCATCCATCCACATTACTAAATCCTAGATGTTCGACTATCCGTCCATCCCTCCCTCTCCCCATGGACCCTCTTTTCCTTAACTGTCTATCACCACAGCTGACCTTCTATCCAGTTCAACACTACCCCTCCACCCTGCACCATCTAGCTGTCCCCTGATAGGTACCCTTATCCCGTGGTAGACATATGGTTCTGTCCGTCCCCTCCAGGGTGCAGGAGGGTCACTCCCTGGTGCTGGAGTCTCTGAGCCCCAGGCTGGCCGGGCAGAGGGCCCTTACCTGACACTCATGAGGCAGCAGGAGATGCGTCTCATGGCCGGCGTGTGGAAGAGGCCCAGGCAGGAGCATGTGCTTTTCTCAGGGAGGCTGCCCCCCACCTTCTCCACCATCTAGGAGAGAGAAGGTGGCTCAGCAGTGCCCCGGCCATTCAAGGCCCCAGGCGAGGAGGAGGCTGGACACGGAATCGCCCCTTCCCTTGGCCCCACTCGCCCAGCCCAGGACCTAGCCAGCCCCAGAGCCCCACCCCCCATCTTGCCCTCAGCTGGGAGCCTCGCAGGGCTGAGGCTGGAGGCAGGAGCTCAGCACGAGACCCCGACCATGGCCTCTGGCCTTGGCATCTGCCCTGGTAGCCTGGGCACTAGGAGAGTGTAATGGGGGGAGGGGGCAAATCCCAGCCCTGAATGTTGGGAGAGGGCCAGCCCCAGAGCAACAGATTGAGGGATGGAGGGACAGACGGCTGTGTGTGGGGAGGGATAGATGGACAGGTGCGTGTGGGGATGGAGGGAGGGTGGGGATGGAAGGACGGACGGGCCGGAGGGAGGGAGAGATGTGTGTGTGTGAGGGGAGGGAGGAATGGATGGGTGAAGGGGGGAGGGAGGGATGGACGGGTGTGTGAGGGAGGGAGGGATGGACAGGTGTGTGTGGGTAAGGGGGGATGGACAGATATGTTTGGGGAGGGACCGAGGATGGGTGTGTGTGGGGAGGAGGGATGGCTGGGTGTGTGTGTGGGTAAGGAGAGATGGACGATATGTTTGGGGAGGGACAGAGGACGGGTGTGTGAGGGAGGGAGGGACGGACACATGAGTGTGCACAGGACTGGCTGGTTGGAGAGATGAAGCCCTTTCAACTCTAGATGGAATCAGGGCCCTCGCCCCGTGTGACATGCACCTCTTGCCCTCTCACCTTTGCCCCCCCCATCTTCATGCCCATGAAGGAACTTCCACCCCCTTCGCTGCCCCCACTGTGTTTGGGGCGGGGGTTCCTCTCTGGACAAGACCCTGCCCCCTTTCAGCTTTCCCAGCTCCCAGTGCCATGCAGGTGAGGAAATGGGCCAGGTGCCAACCCAACTGGGGCCCCCCCAAGGGCCTCCCATCCCCCTCACCAGGGCCAGCCCCAGCTGGGTATCAGGGCTGGGACATGCTATGACCCCGAGGGGTCAAAGGGTATCAGCTCACTTCCAGGGAGATGCTGTCCCCACCCAGCTGCTTCTGGTTGATCCGGGCCACCCGTTGCAGGTTGCTCAGCGCTGTTGCAGGCTTGTGGTTGACAATGAGCCAGCGTGCGGACTCCGGGATCCACCTGCGGAGGGGAGGAGCCAGGATTCCACTCAGACAGGGCTGATCCCTGGGGGAATCTCAAAGTGCTTTGCTGTCAGTTCTTCAGCCCCGTTTTATGGAGGGGGAAACTGAGGCATGGGGGAGATGTGATTTGCCCCCACCAAGGTCACAGAGTTAAGCAGTGGCAAGATTGGGAATAGAACGCAGTCCTCTCCCCTGCTCTTACCGCTAGGCCCCACTCCATTCCCAAAGCAGAGAGTAGGACCCAGGAGTCCTGGCTCCCAGCCCCCTGCTCTCACCCCTGGACCCCACTCCCCATCCAGAGCAGGGGATAGAACCCAGGAGTCCAGGCTCCCAGCCCCCTGCTCTCGCCACTGGACCCCACTCCTCTCCAAGGCCCTTCTAGGGATAGGGGACTCACCAGACACAGAGGAAGAAGATGAAGAAGGGGGTAGAAATGGCCAGCTGCAGCCAGCGCCAGTCCCGGATGCTGTAGGCCAGGCCAGCCAGCACCACCTGACCTGCCGTGCTGCAGTAACTCAGCCATGTCACCACCAGGGCGCGGGACTTGGTGGGGACCCATTCCAGACCTGGGCAGGGGCAGAGGGATGAAACATCTGAGCTGGGGGGTGACTCCTGGGCCCCTTTCTCAGACCAAGCCCCTCCCCACACCCATCACTCATGGGCCTCAGCCAAGGCCAGCCTTGGGAACGGTGGGGACGGGGGTGGGGCTCATTCTGTAGCCCTTTCAGCCTCCCCACTCGAGCCTCCCACAATTAGGGCCAGCCGAGATATTCCTGCTAGGAACTGGGCTGAGACACAGCGAACTCATTGCATGCTATGCAATGGGACACTGGATGGGGAAGGTCCCTGGGCATCATTAACCTGGATTGGAACTTGTGCCCCCTATGAGGAAGGGCCCCATATCCCATTCCTCACCCTCTTAGGCCAGCCAGTCCCTCTGCTCTGGGGCCGGATTGGAGCCAGTGCCCATTGGAGAAGAAAGCCCTCATATTCCACCCCCTGAAGCCAGCCAGTGCCCCCACTCTAGGGCCAGATTGGAGACAGTGCCCAGTGGAGCAGAAAGCTCTGTATCCTGTCCCCCACATGCCTGTTGGTCCCGCTGCCCTGGGGCTGGATGGTAGCTGGTGCCCCCTAGAGGAGAAAGGCCCTGTCCCATTGCCCCTGCCCTGGGGATACTCACTGAGGCAGATGTAGTTGAGGAGGAAGCCAGACAGACCGACCCCGCTCAGCAGGCGGAAGGCACAGTAGGTGAGGAAGTCTGAGGATAAGGCAGCCCCAGTTCCCATGACAGCCACCAACAGCAGAGAACACAGCAGGATGACCCGCCGCCCAAACCTGCATCACAGAGGGGAGCGTCCAGGGTAAGACCCCAGAGGGAGCAACACAGCTCTCACATGGCAGACTGTTCACCTGCGGTACTCACGGCCACAGGAAACTGCAGCGCTCCATCGGGCGTCTGTGATTGTTTGGAGTCAGTAACTGACAGCTGATAATCACTGATCAACAGCAACTGCCCCAGCTCACTGATCATTACTGGTAAATAACTGATCATCGAAACAAGTGACCAGCACTTGATCCCTGATCATCGATATCCGGTAACTTGTAACTAACCGAGCTTGGCTGTACACTCGATTCCCTGGCATTTCTCGCTCTGTCTGCAACACAATAACCTTTGAGTGCTGCGCCTGATCCAGCCCAGAATTTCAGGGAACGTTCCAGGCACCAATTGCTAAAACCCTATGGGGAATTTGGGCACAACTGGAAGAGGGAAATGGAGGGTACCCGGAGCCCCAGCAGCACTTTAGCAGAGCCACAGCCTCAAACACCCGAAACCAAAAAGCTCATTGAGGGCACCAATTAATGAACTAGCAGCATGACAACACTCCATCTCAGCTCTGCCCATCCTCCCAACAGAGTGTAAGGGGGAGGGGGGGGCGGGAATGACATCTCCCAGACAAATAACAATGGGGGAGGGTAGGTAAGGGAACACGGGGGGGGGGAAAGGGGTGTGCCCACAGCCCCTGGCACTGGGGGACAATGGGTGATCCTGTCATGAGGGGGCGGTAGGGGGCTTGCAGCGTGTCCCTGAACTAGAGGGGGCTGGATGCAGCAGAGGGAGCTGTGCAGGGGCTGGAGGGACGCATGGTGTGTACAAGTGCTGGGACAACAGAAGCAGCAAAGGGTGGGACCCCCTTGTCAATAACCAGCCCTTGCTAAAACCTGTTGGCTGAGTGCTGAGCGCTGATCAGCGACGGACGTGTCTTTGCTGACAGACGGGGCTGTCACCCACAACCCATGGTTAACAGGCGGTGCTGGGGAGCTGAGCATCAATAACCAGCCAGTGACAAGTGAGGGGTAAACCACTCACCAGTTTAGGGTGCTTCTCAACCCAGGGAATGTTTCCATACGTCATGGAATGACCTAGCATTGGACCATGCATCTGAGCCAGGGCGGCGTGGGCAGGGGGGCACTGGGCTGGATGGGCCCATTGGTCTGATCCAGGGGTGGGTGGGTAGAGGGGATAATGGGCTGGATGGGCCCATTGGTCTGAGCCAGGGCAGCAGGGAGAGGGGGATCTGATCCAGGGTGGGGGATGTTAGTTTCAGGGGGACGCCCCCACCTCACCCACCTGTCTGAGAAGACTCCGAAAAGGAGGGCTCCAAGCAGCACCCCTGCCATGAACAGCATCTGCGCCAGCGCTGGGAGGGGGCCCAGGTCACACACCAGATCCCACTGGCAGACAGACGGACAGTCAGTGCCCACAGGGACAGGGTGTGGCACCCCCAGGGGGCCCCCTCCCAGTCAGTGGTTTGTCCTGGGGGGACTGGAACTCCATAGCCATGTATCCCCCAGCACCCAACCTTCCCCCACACCCTTCTCTGGCCCCCTCCCCAGCTCTCCCCATCCTCTCTCTCCCCTACCGTCCTCCCAGTTCCTGTCCCTCTTCATTCCCCACCTCCCCTCCCCTCTCTCCCCACAATCCTCACTCTATCCCCTCCCCCTACGTGGTTCCCCCCCATCCCTGCCCCCACCCCATGGCTCTGCCTCGGGGCAGTGGGGAAGAAAAGGGGCTATGAGCCATACCTCAGTGACGATGGTGGAGGAGAAGGTGCTGCGGTCGTAGTACCACCCGTCCCGGCAGGGCTCTGTCTCGCCTTCCCTGCCCAGCGAACCGTTGTGTCTTGGACGCTGCCCATGGGTGCCCGCCAAGTGACAGCACTGCTCTGGGCTCGGGGCCAGGGAGAGCCCCCCATGAGCTGCCGTGCTGTTGCCCACCCAGCTGGCGTTGGTGCCCGGTGGCAGGGGGCGGCACTGGTGCTCAGGGGAGATGGCACTGAAGTTCTGCACCAGGTTGTGGCTGGCAATGAGGAGGGCAGGCGCAGTGAGCAGCAGGACACAGAGGAGCTGGAAGGGACCTGCACTGCCCACCTTCTCCAGAAGGTCTCCAAAGGCCATGGTTGGGGGGTGGCAGGGGACACCAGATGGTGGGGGAGATGGGCACAAGCCCCTCCTGGGGTGACTGCAGGGAGAGACGGGCGCCTCAACGGAGAGACAGACACAGGCACCTGCAGGGAGAGATAGGCACAGGTTCCCTTAAGGAGCAGCTTTTCCCAGTTCCTGGCTGCCTTATATACAGAGCAGAGGGGAAGGTGGGGAGGGGGGTTAACGATTGACTCCTGCCATGTTATGCTGCTAACCCAGAGTGCCCTCCTCTCTTCTGCCCACAATTAGAGGCAGCTGCTAACAGGGAGGAAGCTGGCATGGAGGCAGGGGGAAGTGGGCACTGGAGATTGGGAACTGGGATCCAGGGCTGGGATTGAAGAGAGAAGGCTGGTGCCAGACTGGGCACAGCCGCTGGGGACCAGGCACTGCGTCTGCCCTGGCACTGGGGACCGGGCACTGGTTCTGCCCCAGACACTGGCTCATCCCCCAACAAGCTGGCACTAGTCACAGACCCAGTCAGGAGTGTTACTAATGATGCAGAGTGAGACAATTCTGGGGTCACCTGCCCATCTCTGCTCCCCACACCCATCTCTTCTGGGTGGGGTGGGGGAACCTTTGCCAATGTGCCTCGCATGTGCAACAAGCTGAGTCAAGTCTCAGCCCCTGCCAGGAGTTCTGGCTTTGCCCTCATTTACCTTTCTACATCTCTGCCCCTTTAACCTTCTAAACCCATAACCCTCTTCTATCTCCTCCACACCCCCTTCACCTCACATCATCCTTTTAAAGACACATCCACCCAGCAAACAACTTTCCTTCCTATCCCCCCGCCCCACATCTTGATCCAAGGGGATTGGGTCTGGCCACCTCCCCCAGGCGTGAGGCCCAATCCCCCCTTCTTACGTCAGAGCAGCACATTTAGGGTTAATCATTACCCTCCTACCGGATTCACACACTAACCCATTTCCTGTGGGAATCAAGATCACCCCCCTGACCCCCAATTTGATGCCTTCAGTTCCACTACTCAGTCACCTATTGCTGAAGTTTGGCCTCCACAGCCTGGTCCATGCACTCACGTCTCATCCGGCCACACTCCCTTGTTTCACAATGGGAGGGAGAGGGGTTCACCTACGGGGGGAGGTCCCCCTCAAAATCAGCCTCCGAATGTCACAACGTTAATGGTGCTAAGCAAGGGGCCAAAGGGCTGGCCCCACGGCGGGTAGAGAGATGGGGGAAGATGGATTGAGACCAGGCAGACTCATCACACACTGAAGGGAGTGGTCCCCAGCAGGAATCCAGCTCCAGGGAGAGAGGCTGAGACCGGCCATAGAGTCATCACCTGCTAGGATGGGACTGGCCCACAAATCCTCTGGCAAGGGCTGGTATATCTCATTCCACCAACATACCCAGCCTCAACCCTGAGCCTCTCCATGGCAGGTGCCCAGGGCTTACCTGTCTGCCCCTGGCATTGCACCCTGCAATACCCTCTCCCTGTCCCTCTGAGCTAGGCCCAGAGCTGGGCTGGGTTGCCAGCACGCTGTAGTCCCCACGTATCCCAGAGGACACCCTCTCCGCCCATTTAACCACCCCACTGTGGCAACAATTCCCACCCGCACCAGCTGCCCCCTGGTAGGCACAGCAGCATGTATGTGGGAGTTCCCGTGTGCGTGCACACGCATATGCATATGCACATGTGTATACATGTATGTCTGAGTATGTGTGTGTGCATGTGAAGCAGTCACTAGGTTCACAAAGCGATGCTCTCACCGTGGGTGCTGGAGATTGGAGGAATGGGGTGGGGGCTCTGGTAGCAACAGTGGGGGAGGGACAGCAAGGATGGCGTGAGGTGGGGGTGTCTGGAACAGAGGTGACCTTGCTGTCAGAGTCTCAGCAGGGGGCTGCTCTAGCTCAGGGGACGGTGAGTTTGGGGGGACACAGCACTTGCCCCCCTCCCTGCAGCCCCCCTGCACTACTCCACGGCCCTGCCCTGTGGGGCCCAGCCACCCACCAGCCCCTGTGCTATCTCTATCCTCTGACCTTCACCTCCCTCATTCATTAGCCATAAGACACTTTTAGGAGCCCCAAATCCCTGCTCAGCTCAGCCCACAGCACCTCCCTCCCTGCTGGAGACAAGTTCAGCCACAGATGAAGCCATGGTGTGGACCCAGCTTGGTGGCAGCCAGGGCTGGCTCTGTGTGGGGGCCTGCCCTAACTCCACAGCCCAGCCAAGGGCTGGGGCCCCAAGACAAGGGGGAGCTGGTCTGATAGCCCTAGAAAGTGGGATTCAATGTGTATCCCCAGGCAGCGCTATGTCAGGCCCACGGGCCCCTCCAGCCCCATATCTACTTCCCTGACATCCCTGGTCACACCCATGGGCCCCCTCAGTCAGATATCCCCCATCCCTGCCACCCCAGTCACACCCATGGGCCCCTCCAGTCAGCTATTCCCCTCTCACTGCCGCCACTGGTTTCACCCACGGCCCCTCCAGTCAGGTATCCCACTTCTAAGAGTCTCCTAATGCAATTCTACTCCATGTGACCTACTCCAACGCATTGCAACATGGTACAATTTAATGTGACAGCCTCCATCTCAATTCAGGGGCTACACTACTTCCCCTGTCCCTCTAGTGCAGTGCAGCCCCTTGCATTTCAAGGAGATGCTGCGCACTGCATGCAATTGCAGACAGTGAAATGAAATGCAGCAGAGTGCTTTCTGCTTCAATGCAATTGCAACATAACACAGAGCCAAAATGCTCTTCTCATTTAGGGCTTGATCCTTTGGGGAGATGAGTAGTTGAGGGTGCCTGGTAGCTCGCAGGTTCAAAGCTATACATGGATGCTGTCTCATAACACCCCCTTGTGGCCTAGGACAGCCCTTCAGGCACCCTGCCTCAGTTTCCCTATATGTACTGAGAATAATCCAGTTATACCCAGAGTCTTTAAGAACCATATTTCCCCTTTCTTAGGGCTAATTAATTCAAATTAACCAGCTACCCTCTTTAAGTTCAGGATTTCCCGGCCCTCCTTCTTGGGACTGGGCGATTTCAGTCCTGGTCTGCCTGGCCTGCCCTCAGATTTAGGGGTTTCACAAGCTCTCCCCACTGGGGCTGTGTCCCAGATGAGCTCTTCCTCTCCACCTGAGCAGCTCCCCACTTTACTGGGCTTGGAGCTTCCTCTTGAGTCATCTGGCCAGTCACTGTCCAGTTTCTTGATCCTTCCCAGGTGGGTCTAAACTCCAAACCATGTCTGTGCTGGATGGGAGAGAGTGGAGCATTGCTGTGCCCACTCTTCAAAGCTCCTGGTCCTAGGCCATTCAAGGAGTAAGGGTTTTGGATGGCCCAATACCTTTCCCCTTTGTGGCACTCTGTACCCCAAAGCAATACCCTGGCACCCCCATATTTACCATGGTGATATGATTATTATGTTTTATACAAAGTATGCCTTGTAAGGTATCATTCTAAAAGTCTTGACCTGTTGAACATTAATATTCTGTTGGATTGTATGTGTTATCATTGTATGGGAAGTTATTAAGTTTTGCTATGTGTGTGTTACTGAAATGTGTTGTGAAGTTGGAAACACCCCCAACCAGCCTTTCAGGTACAACAGTGGAGAAGCCAGACAGTGTTGATGACTTATTCAGGGGAATCCACACTACCAAGGACTAACCCAGGAACTGTATACAATGGAGATCTCTCAAAGAGAGCATGTAGACAATGGACACTACTTGACTCACTTCATAGCAAAGGGTCTTTCCAGCAAGTTGGAAGAAACTATAAAAAAGGGGAAGTGACATCATCACTTGGCCTCACTTCCCCTACAACTCAACACCTGGAAACATGTCCAGAGAACAAAGACTGAACTGGGAAGATGGTCCCAGGCTGGAAAGGAGAACCCCAGCTTGTGTATTAAGGAACTATATCATCAGGGTGAGACACTGCTTGATTCAAATCCTGTCTAGTTTATAGAGCTCAGATTGCGATTTTACTTTTATTTCTTAGGTAACCAACTTTCATCTGTACACTTACTACTTATAATCACGTAAAATCTATCTTTTTGTAGTAAATCAATCTGTTTATATTTTACCTTAAACAGTGTGTTTTGGTTGAAGTGCTTGGGAAATCTGCTCAGTGAACAAAAGCTGATGCATGTCCTCTCCACATTGAGAGAGGGGCAGACTGTGTAATAAACTTACACTATCAGGCTTCTGACCAGGGCAAGACAGTACAGCCCTGGGTGCCTAGGCTGGGGAGCTGGGGGAATTGACTGGAGACTCTCGATTGTTAGTTGATGAGTGGCTAGGAAAAGCATTCATATAACTCAGCAGGATGTGTCCCTGCCTGTGGATGGCTGTGTAAGTAAAGTACCTGGGGAGGTTTTAGCTTGTCACAGCATCACAGTGTGAGAGGGAGCCTAGGTTAGTATGCCCGAGTACCCCAGATCCAGGTTGCATCCGGGGAACCTGTCACAAACTCCCAGAAACTAACTGCTCCCCGGGACCAACTTCCTCTTTCCTAATGGTCGCTTCCATTATTTTTCCAGCCTTCATTTGCTGTCCCCAGACACATGGAATCAGGGTATATGGCCTCCCAAACGATCCCCTCTGGCCTTAAAGGCCAGTACATTGTACAAAAAGCTTCCATGGAACAGATGCAGCCACATCATTGAGATCATACAGAGGAGAATTTGGCCCTGTGTGAATTCCAATGAAATTAACTGCACTCCAGATTGAGACAATTCAGCTGAATGCAACACAATTCTGTGCTGTCACACCAACTTTAATGCAGTTCTCTTTGGTGTGTTGCACATCAGTGCAATGTAATTCAGTGTAACACATCCTCCAAGTTTGGTGCAGCTCATGACTCCCATTTGTGTGCAATACAGTACAGGGCAATCCTTCCCAGTGCAAGGCAGCAGCCACCTGCATGGCAACAGAACTGCAGAACTGCATTTTCCATTCCCTGCTAGAGGGGGACCCATCTCTAAACCTCTCTAGGCCCCTTTAAGAGCAGGCCTGGCCCACTCACTACATCTCTAGAAGCAGCCATTACAGATCCAGGAGGTTAGGACTGGGCTACAGAGTAAGAAGGAGAAGCAGCAGGATAGGCTAGCGTCCCTGTCATGCACCCTCTGCCTACAACTCCCATGCTGCA